GAGGAGGAGGAGGAGGAGGAGGAGGAGGAGGAGGAGGAGGAGGAGATTGGATTTATACTCCGCTCTTCACTACCCAAAGGAGTCTCATTGTCTCCCAGGTGCTAAGAACACAGTTTCTCTGGCTTTCCTGTCTTGCTTATCTATATTGAGGTACCCTTTGCAAGTTCTAAACATATAGATCTTTCTGCCAGCAAAAGGACATGAGTCCTATGTGATCAAAGCAGGGTAGTCAGTTACACTCTGAATAACTGTCCAAAGGCAAGAGTGTCAGAAATTCTAAAATATCATGGTTGAAACTCCTGATGGCTTCTCACAATCACTCCTTTCTCTTTTTGAACTAAGGCTGCAGCAGAATTGTATATACAGTAAGTGCATATGCAAAGACTGATCGATTTATACTACAGACTAACAGGAATTCAGCCTAATATATGTTCTGCACTCAGTGTCAAGCCAGGTATTTCATCTTGTAGGCCTAGAGGACCTTGCCAGAACAGGAATTCACCCAAAATTCAGTGTCCCTCAATTCCTTAGTCCCATGCCGGATCCTGTATGATTCTTCCCCAAGCCTTCAAGTACGAAGCCACATATTCATACAAAGCTATATAAAACAACTTATATATTGTTTTATATAACTTCATATGGTTGCAAGAAAATGGAAAACTCAAGTTACCAAAGCATGAGAACAAAATCCTGCCCATGCTTCCTAAAGATGCCTCTCTCCCTGTGATCGACCACAACAACTTTCCTCAAGTCAGCAAGGGCTTCTGCAGGTGCCAACTTGCAAATGGGCAAAACCAACAAATGCCCATACACGTGCCTTCTCTGTTGTGGCCCCTGCCTTGTGGAATGTTCTGCCTGAGGAGCTCAGGAAAGCTCCCATTCTCCTGGCTTTCCACAAACGATGCAAAACTGAACTGTTCAAGAGGGCTCTTCTGGACAGGCAATAGGGTTTTATTTTATTTTTATTTAACTTTCAATTTATAGACCGCTCACCCCCTAAGAGGTCTGAGTGGTTTACATTGTACAATTATTAATTACGTTACCTTACTAGGGCCACACACACAATGAGGGGAAGGGGCACCTATCAGGCACCCATGGCAGGGTCTTAGTTGTTGTTGTTTCTTACGGAGGTTCTTCAATCTGGGCGACGGCGTCTTTTGGCGCAGATCTTCCTTTCGTTCGCAGCGACTCCTTCTGGGTATGGACCCACCGTGTTGCCCCGCCGCCGGTAAATGACTAGGGACAGTGCTCTGAACTGCTGTGCATAGCTTATTATAAGTAGGATCCTATTTATGCAATTTCTGTACTGCTTAATGTGTCATGTGAATACGTTATGCTATGCTTCAGTTCTTTCTGTTGTTTCCAAACTTTTAAAATCCCATTTTGTCAATTATACCGACTCACTGTGTGTAAAAACCTTGACTCCCTGTGAGAAAGGCGGACTATAAATAATGTAACCAGAGAAATGGACAAATAAATGATTCAGAAGGTTTTTCCCCCTAACACTGGCTTCTGCTGCCCACAGGAAATAGAAAGATTTCTTACCCAGAAGTTGATCTTAGTCATTGCATGAACATGATTGGCTGTCGCCATATATGCAAAGAGGTCTGTGTGCATACCTCACACAGCATTTCATTTTCAATACGGTGAGAGGCATTGTGCCAATAAGCTGATAACAAGGCACACATCACAAGAACCCCAGCTTCAGAGTCAGCCAAGAGCCAAACAACAGAGAGGTTGTTTTGGTTGTGGGTTTTTTAAAAAAAGAGATGCTGGCAAGAGGTTGAGGCAAGATGGGAAAGGTTATGTGGCCCCTTCCCTTTTCAGAAGAACCCTGGTATATTCCACTCCAAGACTGAGGACAATCCGTAGCATTGTACGGGTCCTGTAGTTCAAACAATTAGCAAGGTAATGGCCTGTGAGGTTTACTGGAGCAGAACACCAACTTAAACACTCAGAGGGAATCTTTGGAAAGACCCATTACTATCAAATGCTACACACCGGCAAACAGAACAGTAGAGTGGTAACAGCGGCACTGCCAGGGCTGACAAAGGCAAGAGGGAAACCTAGAAGCGCTTGAATACTTGCTTCATTCATGGAAAACACAGTTGAGGAACATATAAAATATCTGCAGAGTCAGATATCATCCGCAAAGTGCCAAGGATGGAATACTACTGCCCACACACACACACACACACACACACACAAACATAACCTTGGGAATATAAATGGCTCTGCTAAGAAGTCTCTCAAAACAGATCATCTGTTTTAGTATCTTCGTCTTTTTTTTTCATGAACCCTTTTCAAATGTTGTTATTCTACAAGAAGAATTGTGTAAGGGTGGTGGGGAGTCAGGGTGGGATATACAGGAGCAGTCCAAGATTCTGCTATTGAAATCCTGGTAATTTGTTACCTTTACATATCTCCTAAAATCTGTCACCTGAGGTCTGCCTTATGGTACTCTGGCTGGCTCTTCATCCATCATCCCTCAAAATAGAATCTGGTAATTCAACTGAAGAGAGACATTTTTATATCATGAAGAAGCTTAGAAATGTTAGAGTTCCCTGTGTGTTCATTTTCTATTCAGTACAAATGATCCATTCATTTTTAAGAACTAATGTGTCACATTCCTGTGAAATCAGGTATCTTGTTGGTGTTATTTGACCAATTATCTAAACGCATTTCTTGCTCTTCCTCAGGATTGATTTAGAATAATTGTATATTTTGGAGCAAAATGACAAAAGCAAAATGCCTTTGCTAAAATGGTTTTTCTCTTCTATTAAGGAAGAGAGGAAGAGGCCAATAAAACTTCCAAGTAGGATCATTCGTGTAATTTTTTAAAAAGTGATTCACTTTTTAAAACATTCCCATCATCTCTTGATGATAGATTAGATTTTAAAAGCTCTTCTGCATCAAGGGTGGAGATTCCTGCCTGCCTTATCAGCCTTCTTTCCTTCCATTCATAAACATTTTTCATTCATTTCCTCAGGCTTTTTGGATAGCCCTCTCAATAAATCTGAATAATTAAACCTGCTATCACAGCACCTGCTGCTTCAAGGTCACTTTCAGAGAGAGGATCAGGTAGGACAGCCTTAGTAGGCTAGCAAACAGACTACCAGGATTACTAAAGAGGCCCCGCTTACGCTGTGTTTGTAGAGCCATTTTTTCCCTTTCTTTTTCCGGACTGTGGAACAAGGTACCCCTCCCATTTTAAAAAAATAGCAACAAAGGCCCCGTTCATATGAGGGGTTTTGGTCCGGGAGCGGGACAGAACGGGGGCGGATCAAACGGGCGTGATCCCATGGCAACATCTGGGAATCGTTGCCTGTCCGTCCCCGATCTGTCTCTTCCGCGCAAAAACCCGCACTAAAAAGAACCACCTACCTGGGTGGTTCTTGCGAAGTAGAGCGGCTCAAACCAGCCGTGGGATCGGCCGCACGTCCTTGCGGCAGCACATCCCAGCCTCCGGCCGAACTGCGCATGCTTGAGCATGCGCAGTTCGGCGGCCTCCCCCTTGCCTCCGACTCTTCCTCCCCGGCATGTGATCGTGCCGGGGAGCAACAGCGCGTGGTGCATGGGATCCGTGGGATCCCGCCCACGCATATCTTTTTTGATGCAGCTCTCTTTAGCCGCGCTTCGCCTTGTGTTTTCCCTACCGTTTGGCAGGGGCCTAAAATGTTGACCTTTAGCTCAGTCTATTTAATTTCCCTCTTTCCCCTGCCACACAGCAAAACCCAGCAGAGCAAGAGCTGTAAGTTCACAAGACTTCCCTAGAGTCCAGACAATAGTACCTGTGTGGGTTTGAGAGTACTCTACCTTGTAAAGGCCGCAAACTATAGGTAGGGAAGGAAGAAGACCAATCAATGACAGCGTGGAAAAGGGATCCAGTTGGGGAATGGCAGCACTGCTGTGAAGTTCCTCCAGGCAAATGGTTCCCTTGAGCTCAAGGGAGGTCTTGTTATCAGTAATGGCCTGCTTGTGAGTGAAGCCATTGTGGGTAAGGACCTCCTCACAAGCAAGGTAAGAGAGACAGGAAGAGTGCTCAAAAGCAGTATGTAAGTAGGAAAGAAAGGGAAAAACTGAGGAGGCAGATAATATAAGGGTCTCTTGATCAGAAAGAATTATGAGCCTGTGCAGAGTAGGATGGAAATGTGAATGAACCTTGCAGTCTGGCTGAAGCCACAAGGCTTGCTGCTTCCTTTTTCCTCACAGCTAAATCCTGACACTCACTGGTTCCCCCTTTTCCCCATTTCTCTCTCATACACACATACATATACAGACACTTTCCCTCACTTCCAGTATCATGCTGCAGTTGCTGAGGGAACTGGCTGTATGGGCAGAGTTTCAGGGTGCATTCAGACAGGGCATTTGCGACGGTGTAGGTGCCGGTTGGAATCGGTGTACTTACCGGCGTTCACACGGCGAACATCTGCCTTCCATCCCTAACCGTTGCAAAGAGCTTTAAACCGTTGTATTCTGCCACTAGGTCCCCAAGTGGTGGTATCCTGAGTGCAACGGTTGTAATCGCTCTCCACCGTTGTAGAGCCACTTCCGTTCGGAAGCCCAAGGCTTCCGATTTTCGCCCGCCATTTTTTTTAGGTCAGCGATATGCGCTTGGGCGTTTGTTTTTTAAAAAAGAAAAGGTCCTTAGTTTAACGTTTCAGAGGAGTCCGGGACCTCAGGGAGGCCAGTTTGCTCTTTAAGCTTTAAAGGTAAGTCCTCTCTTCAGGGCATGCTTTTCGGGACGGAGTGTTTTGCACATGCGCGAAGATCGCCATTCTGTGGATGGCTGCCTATGCGCATGCGCAAACTGAGTTTAAAAAAACAAACAAACTGCCAACACCCGCTGTGTGTGAACAGGCATACGATGGGCTCTGCTAACAGGAGGTAAGTGTGATCGCGTTTCAGCTGGCATAAACTGCAACGGTTCCGACCGGTACAGTTTATGCCTGCTGAAACGCCCCGTCTGAACGCACCCTCAGTGTCACAGAACACTTCATCCCATGTTTTTTCCTCATTGTGTGTAATGTACCAATATGTACCACATATGTGGTAAGTGGCATGTGGATGTTCCAGAGACAGCGGAAAAACCATTCTGCTTGATCTGTCTTGGCCCTGTCAGATCCAGCCTTTGTGCTATTCAGGCCAAAACAGTGACAAGGAGAGGTAGAGAAGGAGCAGTCAGAACAGCAGGCATCCAGCCATTTAAACCAATAAGCAAGGCTGACATGCCAGTTTTTATACAAGTAATGGAGTCGTTAAACCTGCTCTCCCCTACTGGTACAAATAAGCTTCCTCCGTTTCTTCTTGTTGTGTGTCTTTGCCTTCCTTTAGTCAGAGCAAAATGAGGCCCACTAGTTTGTAACCAGACTGATTTCTCTCCAGTTACCATTTCAGGACCAACTGCAGGCTTTAGGTCTCAAGAGTAATAAAAGCAAATTATAGACTGGGACTATATTCTGCCCTGGGCCCCAGTTTCCTCCCTGCTGTTCCTATTCTAAAAATGGACACGGGACAAATTGGAAGAGAAGAGAGAAGATATTGGATTTATACCCCACCCTTCACTACCCAAAGGAGTCTCAGAGCAGTTTACAATCTCCTTCTCCTCCCAACAGACATCCTGTGAGAGAACAGTTCTGAACTTGTAACTGACCTAATCAAACCCAGTTCTCCCAGTTTAGAGTCCACACTCCTAACCACTACACCAAACTGGCTCTCATACCAACTGAACTTCCTGTCCTTGTTTTATGGGCCACCCATGCATAATGATGTAAAAGAAAATGCTCATACATGTACAAAGGACCATGGCTCAGTGGTAGAATCCATGGTGTGCATGCAGATGCTCCTAGGCTTAGTCCCTGGCAGCGCTAGTTAAAGGATCTTGGTTAGTAAGACTTTTTCTCTGTTTGAAACCCTGCAGAGAAGCATTGCTCATCAGAGCAAATGGTACTAAGCTAGATGGACCAGTGGTCTATCTCAGTAGAAGGCAGCTTCTGACACTCAGCCAAGAGACCACACCATCAATGCAGCATCACTTTGTGGATTTGCCTTCCTACTTTAATGTCTAGTTCATGCTTTGGACAGCCTGTCCCTATGCACACATACACACATTTTAAGACATCACCCTCTGTGATAAACTTCTCAAAATGTCATTTCTGCAAATGCTTCCCCGGGTGACAATACCTGAGTGGCACCTTCTGTGTTGTTGGCTTCCAATGAATGTACCTAACATCTTCAGGCAAATTTTTATGAGGCTGATGCTGTCTTATGCTGTATCCCACCATTGGCTACTGTCCTAAAGTCGACTGCTCTACCCAAAGCTTCACTTATGCATCATAACTCTGACTGGTCCTTCCTGACACTTACACACACACACACACATCTTCCTGTATGTAAGGCTTAAAGAAATCTTGGGCCCCGGTAACACGGGCCGCGGGGGGGAGGCGTGGTTAATTGCCCCGGCGCAGTTTGATCCGCGATTATGCAATCAGAAGTGCCGGCGGCACACCACGGGTCCTTCCCTCGGTGCCGGTGGGTAAACGAGGGTAGCGATCACACGCGCGATCACACCAGCAATGGCTAGGTGCCATTTTTTTAAAAGCCAAAACGGCACTTTCGCTTTTCTCTTTATGCGCATGTGCCGTTGGGTGCTTGTGCGCATCTTGTGGAGACTTGGTGGGAAAAAAACCTGTTTGCGAAGGGACATGGGCGGGCACCGGATGCCACCACCGGAAACGCAATCAGACGCCAGCCCTTGCCCCGCGGTTTCCAGAAACTAGTACCTCGGAGGTACTAGTTTTTAACTTCGCATCTTTGGCAGGAAGCCTTGGGTTCGCCACGGGAACTCTATGCTTCCCAGATGTTGCGGTGTGATCCCGCCCGGAAAATCCACCTATCTTCCGTCTCTGTAGCGTGGCTAATGCTCTGTGTGACCGCAGCGTTGTTTCAGTTTGTCTGAGGAAGTGTGCTTACACACGAAAGCTTGCACCTTAAATAAAAATATGTCGGTCTTCAAGGTGCCATTGGACTCCAACATTGTTCTGCTGCTTCAGTCCAACACGGCTACCCACCTGAATCCACCTACAGCAGTTTACCAAGATCTCAGACAGAAAACTTTCCCAGCCCTGTTACCTGATATCCTTTTTCATGAGATGCCAAGGAACTTATGTATGCAGAGCACGTGCTCTGCCACTCAATTACAAGCCCTTCTGTTTTTGTTGTTGATGTCATTCTGGTATCAGATGCATAGTCCCCTCTTCCCACAGCCGGCACAATGTAAAGGGAATGGATTGCCACTGGATACCATACAAAAGCTCGTGCGTGGCAACACTCATCATGTCTATGCCAGTGCACTTCCGAATCCAGTCTGCATGTTTATTTCCCAGTCCAGCAAGCAGCCGTATGTAAATAAATGTGTAAGGTTAAATACCAAACAGCATACTGTCACATTTTTGTTCATCAGAAATGTATAGAGTGGTACAGTCTAATCTTCTGCTTGTTTTATTCGGCATTAAATCCAATTGTGTTCAGTGAGGCTTACTTCAGAGTGCGCTTAGAACTGTAGCCTTTGTCATGCTTAAATCCAATTAAAATTAGAAAAGAATAAGAGTCCAGGAGCACTTTAAAGACTAACAACATTTGTGGCAGGGCATGAGCTTTTGTGTCACTGTTCAGCTGTAACTGAAGAAGGGAGCAGTGACTCACAAAAGCTCCTACCCTGCCATAAATTGTGTCAGTCTTTAAAGTGCTACTGGACTCTTGTTCTTTCCTACTGCTACAATTCAGACTAACATCTTGGTCTGTCTCCAATTAGTGGCACAACTAACCTGTCCCCTGGATTCCAATGGGGCTTAAATCCAACTAACTTTTTTCTGGTCTGGAGCTCTCCTTTTTTTTTTCACTGTGCCATTAAATGTAAAAAAGAAAATCTCATGTGCTGACTTGAAGATCCCTTTTTCCATAGACGATCCTCTGACAACACTGATGTACTAATTTTATCCCACTCTTCCTCTGAGGAGATCAGGGTGGAGTATGCCCTGCTTCCCTGCTCTATTTTACCTTAATAACAACCTTGTGAGGTAGGTCAGATTTAGACGTATTGACTGTGAGCTCCATCATGGCTGGATGGAGGCTTGAACTTAGATTCCCCTGATCTCTGTCAGCATAACCACTATACCACTCTGCCTCAAAACTGAATTTTTGTCAAAATGTCTACTTACATGTGACTAGCCTTTATTTAACTATTAATTGTTAGTCTCTTTCTTCTGCTTTTATAAGCCAATTACCATTTACTTTTGCCTGCTAATAAAAGAAGTTAGAAATTCAACTTTCCAAAAGTTTCTACAGTAGACAGTATTAAGAAAAGTAACGGTGGTGATGTTCTCTCTATGTCTCCCTCCCTCCCTCCGTATCTACCTACCTGTCTGTCTGTCTGTCTGTCTGTCTGTCTGTCTGTCTATCTATCTACATCACTTGGAGTTTTTCTCCAGGAAAAGATGTAGATAGTGTCAGCTACACATCTATTTTAAATACAATTGCTTTTATCAATAATAGCATGCCAACATTTAAAATCTAACATTTCTTGCAAAAAGCCCCCTCATCAAGATAAAGAAACATTTGTTAGCATCTCTTACCTTATAATCTCTTCTTTATCAAGAGTTCCCACTCTGCACAGTACACTGGAGAAGCCAGTCTTGCCCTCCAGTGGGCAGCGATCTATTTTATTTCTTTAATTTCTTTAGTTATAGCCAATCAGAAGGTACAGTGGGCGGAGGGAAAAAAGGGATTGGAGGAGGGACTCCTCCAGAAAGTCACCAGAATGATGCTGAAATTGGAGTAAATGCAAATCCAATGCCATCCACAGGTCAGGAGCCTGCTGCCTCTTTGATACCTGTTCTTCAGGTACTCCCCACCATCTGTCTTCCAAGACAACAAGGTTTTTCCTTCAATAGCTGTGTTTTAAGTTGCAGCTATTGCTGAAGAGCATTTTTAATTTTCGAAGACAATCATTACTGAACTTCCCTTCTCAATGAACATATATGGTAGACCTTGATTATTGTCATCTTACAGGTGGGACTGCTGAGGCAAAGAGCTGGCAGCTGGTTCCAGGCCATAACTTTTGCCCACCTGTGAGACATGTGAGACCTCAGGATTCCCTTGATCCAAGTCACAGTACAGGTTACAACTGGGAGCTATCATTCCCAAGAGCTGCAGGGCTGGATCACACATAATGTTTTGTTGAGCCCAAAGCCAAGCTCAGTGGGTAATCCACCACATCACACTGGTTCACCGGAGGAGCTAAGGAGATTTATCCAACTATATTCTATGGAGGACACAGTCTTCTTGGTGATTCTTTACATCCCTCTGTTTTACCAGAAATTACCCTGTCACTTTTATATATATATGGGAGGCATCTGGGGAACAGGAAAGATGTGTGGATGTGTAAATCTACCCTAGTTTAATAACTGGGGTTTAATAACTAGGGATGCCAACCTCCAGGTAGCTCCTGGAGATGTCCCATTATTACAATTAATCTTCAGATGACCAAGATCAGTTCCCCTGGAGAAAATGGCTGCTTTGGAGGTTGGACTCTATGGCATTATACCTGCTGAGGTCTCTCTCCTCCCCAAACCGCACCCTATCCAGGCTCCACCCCTGAAATCTCAAGGTATTTCCCAACCCAGAGCTGGTAACCCTATTAATAATAAAAGAAGGCAGACTTCCGGTTTGTGGATCAGCGATGGTGGTCGCTCTCCCCAGTCCGTGGGGGAGTGACCCGCACACCAGTGCTATGGAGGGGTGCTACCTCAAGTAGCACTCACACGGAGCCTTTATGATAGGCTCCAGGCCAGAGGGCTTTTGAGGGGCAACCTCTTCGACAGCTCAATGCCGGAGAATCAAGGCTTCCCTCCGCCCTGATGGTCCTGCCACTGTGTGGCCCTTGGGCACAAGCTGATTCGACTGGGACAAGCGCTGGAGATCAAGTGGAATATCAATTACTGTGAGCGAGGTCAGAGAAATGACTGACAATGAACGTGAGTTCAAAATAAACTGAATATTTTAAAAGCGAACTCCCCCCCCCCGTGGGAAAAGCGGAGCGCAAAGAGGAACGCCTCTTATGTGAACGGACAGATAAGCGTAACAAAGGGGTGGGGAGAGAACAAGCAGCAATTCTGTTTTGAGAGACTTACTTGAGTGCTGACATTGAGGCGACGATTTTTTGAGTCCGCGAGAAACGGTTTGGAATTGTAAACAATCGTATAAAATGGTGGCCTCGCAAAGAAAGTTTAAAATGAAACCGGTGGGTAGTCAGAGCCCAAAACTGGAAGAGGGAGCAGACATCATGAAAATGTTAGCAGATATGCTCAAGCCAGTGATGGAGCAACTCGATGGTATTAACCAGCAACTGACTTCTCTGAATCAGAACTTCGCGTCCCAGCAGCTCCAACTGGCAGAAACGGCGAAGAAGGTGGAGCATACGACTGAAAGAATTAAAGAGATAGACACCACAAAAAAGAAAATGAAGAAAAGAATGGGGGAAGTTGAAGCAAAACAAAACTTCCAAGAAAACTGTTTGTTACAGCTACAAAAGCCAATATGATTCTCAGATTCCAGGGAGTTCCTGAATTGGAAAAGGAGGATCTGAGGAAGTTGCTCAGCGAGATCATCGCCCCAGCAATAGGCTCAACAGCGGATGAAGTAGTAAAAGAGATGGAGACTGCTTATAGGGCATTTGTTGTTGTTCAGTCACACAGTCGAGTCCGACTCTTCGCGACCCCATGGACCAGATCACGCCAGGCCTTCCTGGCTTCCATCGTCCTCTGAAGTTTGGTCAATTTCATGTTCGTTGCATCTATGACACTGTCTAACCATCTTATCCTTTGCCGTCCTCGTCTTCTTTGACCTTCAATCTTCAATAGGGCATACTCCAACTATATTTTAAAAAATAGCCTGCCTGGGGAAATAGTGGTCAGATTCTCAAGAAGACAGACCAGAGATGCTATTTTAAAAGCGACTTCAGCAACTCCACTGAAACTGTGGAATACAAACATTAAAACTTTAAAAGATATTCCATTTGAAATTCGCCAAAAGAGGAAAAGCTATAAGGACTTAATTTCTTTTCTTCAAACCAATGGAATTTCGTACAGGTGGGCAATCCCAGAGGGTGTCATCTTTAAAATCAACTACAAAAGAGAAAAGATTGACTCCATTTTTAAAGCCAAAGAATTTTTGAGACATCAGTTGGGATTGGAGGAAGAATCCAAAGATGAAGAATCCAAATCAAGTGACTCCACTACCTCTGGAACGGATGAGGACTCTGCTGTAGAAACGGGTGCAGGCGCAACGAAAGCTACATATGATTTCAGAGATAGAAAACCGAAGTAAAGACAACAACAACAACAACAACAACAACAACAACAACAACAACAACAACAACAACAACAACAACAACAACAACAACAACAACAACAACAACAACAACAACAACAACAACAACAACAACAACAACAACAACAACAACAACAACAACAACAACAACAACAACAACAACAACAACAACAACAACAACAACAACAACAACAACAACAACAATAATAATAATAATAATAACAACAACAACAACAACAATAATAATAATAATAATAATAATAATAATAATAATAATAATGATAATGATAATGATAATGATAATGATAATGATAATGATAATAGAAGGCTATGATGGATCAGACCAGTGGTCCATCTAGTTCAGCATCGTGTTTCACGCAACAGCCAACCAGTTATCCTGGAGGGCCCACAAACAGGGCATAGAGGCCAGGAACCTCCCTTGGTGCTGCCTCCCAGCACTGGTATTCAGAGGTCCACTGACTCTGTAGATGGAAGCTCCCTGTAGTTGCCATGGCTAATAGTTGATGAGCTTCCTCCTCCATGAATCTAATGCCCTTTTAAAATTATATTTTGGTAGAGATGAACTATTATCATAAATATGCAATAGAATAGAGGATGTATTCAGTTAGGAGTGGGATTAGTACATGTCCACTGGATTTATCTGAGGATGCCTCTATGTGAGGAGAGGACATGTTCTGTAATATATTTTACAAGTTATTCCTTTTAATGGGTTGGATCTAGCACAGTGTTTCTGCAGGAGCAAGGACTTCTGTGAGTCATACATGAGCTATCAACTTGCCCTGGAAGACTTTGATCATGTATGGTATATGTGAGCCCTCTTTAAAAAAAGAAAAAAGACTCTCAAGGTAGCTGATACCACTTTTTGGACATTCTCAGTGTTACAGGTTATCTGAGCTCTCCGTGAACTAGGTGATTGAAAAACTACACCTAAATATTTAAAAACCTTCATCTGGTCAATATCATGGCTGTGGATCTGCCATTTGTGCAACAACAACAAGAAGAAGAGTTTATTTCTATACTTAACCAGCATAAATCAGTTAGAAACATAGTTGGATACCATACCCTAGTTACACAGCCATTAAATTGGAAATAATTAGATTTTTAAAAGGCTTAAAACTCTTTTGGGGGAAAATTTGGTGTTTGGAGGTTTATTGTTAGCTGCATTAAAAAACCAAAAGGTTAATTACCACAATTATAAGGGCCAAATAATATCAATTAAAAACATAAGATAAATATTATCAAATATACCAAGATACATGTATTTATTACAAATTAGATAAAAACAGATACAGGCCTAATAGTAGCTTCAAAACAGGATAAAATCATACATAGGTATCAAACACACAACATATGTGACCAAGACCATATGCATTTCAGCCAATTCAGCCTTCCTCAGTGGTCAAACATATGTATTGCACATTAGCTCCAAGTAATACAATGAATACTGAAAATAAGACCGATTAAAAATGGTTTTATAAGAAATCTCAGTGACTCAAGGAAAGGATAGAATACAGAGGCCTCATTTTCAAATACCTTCTGCCCTGGTCATATATTTGCGTCATCAATTATGTGTCTTTCTCTCTTGGTCCAAGGAAAGCATATTCTCATGCAATTTGGAGTCAATAGCAAGTGAAAGTCATAGATGACCACCACTGCTTTTGGCCATCACATTGTATGTAGGATGTGTAAAATCAGGAGAAACAAGATGTAATAATTGTCCAGGGCTCTGTCACTTCAGGTTACTGGTGTTAGTGCACATTTGTATGTTTGAATGCTTGTGCTAGGGTTCCTGGAGATCTCCCACTTCTACAACTGAGTTCCAGACTACAAAAATCAGTTCCCTGGAGAAAATGGCTGCTTCGGAGGGCAGACTCTATAGCATTGTACCATACTGATGTCCCTCATCAAACCCCACCCTCTCCAGGTTCCACTTCACCTCCAAAATCTCCAGGTATTTCCCAGCTCAGAGCTGGCAACCCTGCCTCTGCATATAGGAAAAATAGTGTGTAAGGGAGACAACTAGTCTCGGACCTTTTAATGCTTCTTTGCTATATGAAGGCAGTTGTATTTTATAAGACAGGACTTGCAAACTACCTAATGCCATTACCACACATACAGAGCTACAACCTGAATCAGTGGAGTCCAAGGGGGGAAATGCCATTCAATTCTACTGATTCTAAGTTTTTAAACTGGTTGGTCTCCAGTCACCTGTGTCTACAAAATGTTTGTGGAAGCAGAGAGATCCAGAGGTCATCCCAACCCTCTATGCTCTTTAATCCCAATGGTCTTCTCACTACTTTGATGTCATTGACTCTGCCCCATTCTTGTGTTCTGCTCATTTATTCATATAAATTATCTGCTTGCGATGTGTAAGCATCTTTCAAGGTCACCTGTTTTTAGCATCCTATGGAGAAAGATTGTCCCATGTAGGAAATATTTATTTACTTTGGCATTATATCTGGAAATCTTCCAAATAAGAATAGCCTTCAGAACATACTTCATCGATTTTTCTCTCATCAGCTGAAGTGCAGGCAGGGCTAGCTGTCATCTCCAGTTTGTACAATAGTTGCAGCCTTTTTTTCTGGTATAGGGGATTTGAGGATTGGGCTATTAATCATCCCAGCATCGTGGGCTGTGTGATTTGTCAGAAATA